AGCAATTGCTTTGCCTTGAGTAACCTCAGGATTCCATTGAGCTGTAAAGAGCAAGTTCACATTGATATCTAAGTATTGCCATTAAGTTGCTATCAGAGATTTACTTTGAATCTCAGTAAGACATTATGCTGTTTGTCTAATTCCAGTAAACGTATATGAAAGAGACGTGAGAGGAAGCCAGAGTTTAGACTTGAGGTCTCTTAAGATTTTGAGACATGACACAAAAGCGCATAGGACTTCTAGGGGTTTAGAAGAAAAAGCAGAAATAAACCTTCACCCAAAAAAACTTCTTTGTGAACCAGTAGTTTTTGAACTTGAACTAGCAGATAAAGGTTATCTGTGTGATTCTAAGATAAAGAGGATGTCCGAACGCGCAAAGCTAAGTGGATCACCTAACAAGTGTAGTAAGCTAGGCACGAAAATCAATGGAAGGATTATTGACCAAGAACTCTATCCAATTGATGTGATATAAGGACATCTGCCTTTCTGATTGAACAGCGTGTCAAACAGACACGTAGAGGCAGAGATCTTGAAGGCCAGAATTAAAAAATCTGTTACTAGCTCCTATAACGACTAGAGAGCAGTAGCCATCTGCCATTTTTTTCAGTATAACGAACAACAGTTGAATTCCTCATGATCATACAAGGTTGATCACAGGAGGGTTGAGATCTATCCAGCTTATCAAAGACAATTTCTCTAATCACAGAAAGTTAGCAGCAATAGAAACAGATAAGTAAAAGGGAGGGCAAGGATACAAGAAGCTCCATGTATAAATGTTGGGAAGAGGAGAATAACTTGGTGAACAGAGACAACCAGAGATTATCACTTTGATCCAAATTCTAACCCGGTCTAGAATTTGAAAAATTTTGATGACTCCATTATTGTCAAAAGCCTATGATGAAGCGAAGAACCCAATCTTCAACGAAGATTAGCACTTTTTGCTTCCAAAAATACTTAAAACTTGATATATGATCTTTGATGAGAGATAAATACGAACTACTTTAGGCCGGGCTAATTGAACCTGAGTTCATATACTAGATAGAGGTTTAGGCAAGACTTACAGAAAATTGAGATTTGGCTTCTCTCGCGATTTCTAGGGCGGTTTTGAGCTTAGCTTTGACTTTCCATTGTGAAACCAGAATGACTACACGTATCTGTTCAAACAATGATGTCTTACCTTAAGAATTCAAACTGATCTGCATCTAGTTAGAGCAGAGAAGCGGTTGCTTCGAGATAGTCTCAAGTGTCAGTCTGAATTGGTATCTGATTGGAGAGATGCAAATTTTTAATTGAGTGGTGATGTTCGGGTGTAGGAGGTATGCTTTGGAGGGGCGCGTGGAAGTGGTAGAGACTAGATTCTTCAGTGGAGATATTAAGATTTGGTAGTTTGGATTTATATCTGGAGAAGGAATTGTGAATCGGAAAAAATGGAGGATGGAAGTGAGGAAGTGGACGTCGGTAACGGAGTAATATCTTAGAGGGGGAAATACTGGAGGTTAGAAGCCATTCCAGTGGAAGAGTTTATGAAGACGGTAAGAAGAAGGTTGCCAGGAGGAGGAAGCAGTGAAGGTAATGGAAGCCTGGGTATGACGGAGCACAGCCAAGTTGTTGGATGGGTTAGGAGGGGGCTGAAATTGAAGAAGGGGATTGTGGGGGCGGTGACAGTGGGGTCTGAGGAATGTAAGGCTCATAATTTTGGAGAGGAGGGGAATGATGTGTTGCGGTTGGGGTTTTAGGAATAAAGAGAAGGGTGAATGAGGAGAGCACATCTTCAACATTTCTGCGGCTTTCCAGTCGTATAAAATTTAAAAGAAGTCTTCAACATCTATGTTATAGGATTTCTCAGGCAAAACGATCTTTAGAATAAGACACAATACCCGGCAAAAGTGAGTCTAGTCGATTGCAGTTAGCGAATCATAACAGAAATAGAACGCCCAAACTTGCAATTTTTGAAATGCCGTCGGAGTCCACGGCAGTGGGAAATCAACGATTTGATTCCCAAAATCGGGAATAGGAGGGCTATCAAACGCTTGGTTATGAACTTTGGAGACACTTAGCAGAATAAAGTTCTAGAGACAACAGCACGGAAAAAAACTCTAGATTCCTCAGAGAAACATTTCCAGAAGGAAAAATCGGCTACGGGAAGAGAGTCATAGAAACCTTTTTTAGGGACAGAGCCTTTGCATTTGCTTTAACAGTCTCTGTGTAGGACAAGGCAAGAGAATACCTCACAATTAGGGAGAATCCAGATGGTTGCTTCATTCAGTCATGTTGAATGAACTTTTGGGGAGGAGAGAAAGAAATGATACCCGGGAAGTTGAAGATGAAGGAGAAGCCGAAACATTTGCCATAAGATGTCACCAGCGTTGCGAAACCTCAGGAGAAGGACAAAACAGAAGAGGTGGAAGGGGAGAACACTGAAGAGGAAGCGTCCATCGAGGAGGGGAGAAGCCCACCGGACGAAGGACGGAAAGCGAACTCAAGCGGCACAAACCCTAGCAGAGCTCCGTTGTTACACTACTTCCTATTTGCTATTCAATCGTATTTATAAGAAAAAAATATTATAATCTTTGTATAATATATGTTCACTCTATTGTTTAATCATTTAATTTATATTGCTTACAATCCCTCAAATTTTAAAAAATATACAAAATTGATAAAACCCAGCCGTCATCTATCTTTAACCATTGCCAATCCAATTCCTTCGCTAGCGAGAATTATCGTATTCTCCTCATGCTATTAGTGTTTCTCTTTGTCTTCGTTTGCACACATGTAAAATTTTTGCTTCCGTTATCTTGTCATCCCATTCCTAATGAAATCTTATTATGTGATTTTGTAGTGAATTTGTCTTCATTCAACCTAAAGATATTGCCTATAAATAAGAGAAGAAAACAGATGCGACAACTGAATGCCTTGTCCTCAAGGGTAAGAAAGGGGAAATAATTGAAGCATCCTTCACCAAAATCCTATTACAACATTTTCTTTACCAATGAGATACATTGATAATTCTCTTTGTTACTAAGCATTTGTTAATTAGCTCTTATTTAATGTACAATAATAAAATTTATATGTTAAATATATAAATAAAATTATTGAATTGAAGAAAATCTCATTCATTTTTATAACTATTAATTAAGAGCAGCGGTCCGACCCCCCCCCCCCCCTCTAAAAAATATAATTAATAGGGAGAGTAAAAATATTTTTTTTGCCTATATAAAATTTATCTTTTGCACCCTGAGGGGGGGGGGGTTTTCCGCTTCAGCTACATGAATAGTTATAAAAATGAATGAGATTTTCTTTCAATTCAATAATTTTTATTTATATATTTAACATATAAATTTTATTATTTACATTAAATAAGACTATTAACAAAATGCTTAGTAACAAAGAGGAAATCAATGTATCTCATTGGGTAAGAAAATGTTGTAATAGGATTTTTGGTGAAGGAGGCTTCAATTATTGTCCCCTTCTTACCCTTTGAGACAAGGCATTCAAGTTGTCAATCTGTTTTCTTCTCTTATTTATAGGCAATATGTGTGAGGTTGATGAGGACAAATTCACTACAAAATCACATAATAAGATTTCATTAGGAATAGATTGACAAGATATGGAGGACAAAGAATCTACAGTGTGCAAACGAAGACAAAGAGAACACTAGTAGCATGAGGAGAACGATAATTCTCGCTACCGAATGGGCAATGGGATTGGCAATGCGTTAAAGATAATGACCATGGTGTATTTATGCGAAATTTTTGTATATTTTTTAAAAATTTGAGGGATATGTAAGCAAATATTAAAATTTAAATGATAAACATATAGATGACATAGTTAAGTACAATGTATATATATTTTTTCTATAAATATACATAATATTATTACACAATTAGTGCATTTTACAAGAATAAAATGAGTTTGTCATTTCTTGAAAATTTACAAAATATTTAATATTTAAAGCATTTTATTTTTAAAATTTTAAGCTATTATATGATCACATAAAAATCCATCTCTATATAAGTTTATTTACTTATGAAAAAAAAAAACTTATTTATGACCTTTTTTATGTTGAATATTGAAGTATAATGCTTGCACACTTGTTCTAATTTTAATAAATGATGCATGAGAATGGGGCTTAAAAACCAGTAGTGAGATCCACAACAACGTGTTCACGAGGATGAGAAATATCTATTATAATTTTTTCCTATAAAATCATCCATAAAATAAATTTAAATCTTAAGGAAATAAGGCTAATTACAAGCCAATAGTATAAGTTGGGTAAGAATTTCAAATATGGAGAGGTATTCTACTATTCTCATACAAGCCCTGGTCATGGCTTTTACAAACTAATTCATCCCTATCACATAGCACTTCTATCCATGAAAACTCTCCTCTCATGCATAAGAGTTCGACTCTCATTCTTAGAAAATTTTCTACAAATACGTGCCTTACATGCTAGGCCTAAAAAACTCACTCAAATCATATATAGTGATCCATCTGTACATCATCTTATTACTCCATATGATGTCTTATTTTTTCTATTTATTCTAGATGATGTATTTTATGTAATATTTTTAATCCTATAAATAAGAGAAGAATAGATTTATTTTGAATATTGTGTTATGCGATTTACATAGAGAGATAATAAAACTTTCTAATTACTTTTCATACAATAATTTTTCTCATTTGGTTCTAGCCCTAATCTACCAAAAAAATTATTAAAAATAAACTATTAGTAAAATAAAAAATAATATTAAATTCACCATATTAAATCTATTTTAAAATAAAAGTTAAATAGTTAAAATTTATTTGTATTTAAAAATAAATTATTAAAATATATCACATTTATCACGTTTGAGTTCGATACCAACTTTTTTTTTTTTTTTGAGCAAAAAAAAGAACCTCCAACATCGGCTTTTCCCCCGTTAATTAATATAAGCCGCCGTCACGTGCTAGCTGTAAAATTCTGGATGGACAAGGCACCCCGTCGATTCCCTTGCTTTTTAGTTTTAATACCATACAATGCAGAACATCCAACCGGTTTTTAATCGATAGAAGGAAATCCTTGTGGAACAGAAAAGCAGCTGGGAGATGGAGGCGTGGCCATTAAGAGCTGCGTTCCTCATGCTGCTCGTCTCCGCCGCCGCCACCGCCGCGGCCGGAGAAGGCGGAAGGGAATCGACGGCGGTTAGCGGGGCTCTTTTCCTAGCCGGATCGATACCTCGAGGAGTGGAGGCGATGGTTGTGTCGACGGAGAGGATGCTACCGCATTGGTATCGTGTGGCCTGGGCTACTCTCCGGAAGGCGGCAGTGGTGCCGGCGATGAAGGTCGCTGTGTCACTGTGCCTAGTGCTCTCGGTGATGCTGCTCGTGGAGGTGGTTTTCATGTCATTCGTGAGCCTCGCCGTGAAGCTGTTCCGCTTGACTCCGGAGAAGCGGTACAAATGGGAAACGATCAGCGCCGATTTGGAGACCGGTAGCTCCGATTACCCCATGGTTCTCGTTCAAATCCCTATGTATAATGAGAAAGAGGTATTTATCTTACCCTGTCATCCCTCTATTATTTTCTTATTCGACGAGATGGAGGTTGATTTGGTTAGGCGAAATGGGGAGCAGGTGTACAAGCTCTCGATTGGGGCGACGTGCGGGCTATCGTGGCCATCGGAACGGATGATCATTCAGGTGCTCGATGATTCAACCGACCCGGAAATTAAGGTGAGATTTTATAGAATACGCCTAATTCCGTGAAATGCAGAGTAGGGTCTCTTGTAGAAAGACATGCCATAGAATTATAGAAAATTGGAAATGACTGGGAAAATAGTGCTCGACGCTTAAATGGGCGTGTTGCGGTTTTGAGCAGAGCCTATTGGATTTCTTCTACGTGGCGAAAGTTCGGTATATGTTGGTGGCCGTTGGTGTGGCTCATAGATTTTGTATTTTTTTAGGGAGGACCGTGACCTCAACGGCGTGCATCGAATGTTGTATACAGTATACCTTGATGAATATTGGACGGCTCAACCCCCCGCCCCCCGCGTTCAGCGTCAAGAACGCTCTTTGAGCTTGGTGCCTTAGGGAAATCTTCCTGGGTTTCGTGGTTAGAGGACTACGCGGTGGAGTAACTTTGTGATGAATAGATTCAATGGCGGATTTGCAGGGGGATTAATTTCACCATTTGGGTTGAGGATGGACGGATCTAATCAGTTCGAGCTTTCTAATTGTGATTTTGTGTTTCATTAACCCTAATTATCATGTTTTATTGCTGTTGAATTCAAATTTTCACGTGGGCGACACTTGACCTTAATAACAAATCTAAATAGGCTAGTAAGAGAATATGAGTAGTCCTTCAAGATGAACACCTTGCACGAGTTTATTAGGTGAGTGTGGCTGTGAGCTAGGGATGAACACAGTTAATGAAGCCATGCTTATAAGCTTTTTAGGTGTGTCTCATGTAGCTTAGATGAGGATATTTGTGGAAGGTCAATGGTCTTGACTGGGGAGAGCTATTGAAAGAACCAAGTCCTTATAAGAAGAGTACTTCTTTAAGTGAAGGCTTATTGAGGCAAGTTCTTTGGCCAAACTTGCTCGAATCATGTACATCCTTGATTGAACTCCTCAAGGTTGAGCTCCTATAATGCGAACTTTATTGGGGCAAATGCTTGCATATCCCTAATCTTGCTCTGGTGAATGCTCTTTCCGGGGAGGCTCATTTTGGGAAAGTTAGTGTCTTGACCGAGCTCCTTAGAGGTGAACTTTCTTGGTACCTTTGAGTACTTATATCAATACATTTGAAAATACATTTATTTTCTGATTCACTTTCTCCTTTCAAGAGTTTTTTGCAAAAATGATAAAGGGAATTAAAAAGGAAAACATTTGATATCTCAATTAAATGACAAAGAGAAAACTTTGTCCAAGATACTCATGATGAAGTTGATTTGATCTCTGTACTATCTTTTGGCTATAAAAAAGGCTAGGGTCTATAGTTCATCATTTTCTATGCTTTAGTTTAGTTCCTCTAGTTCGCATAAGAGATGGCTGAGATGAGTACCATAAAATATGTCTACTTTGATGATCGTAGACTCCGAAAGGCTTTCCTTCATAAATTTAAAACCATGGAGTATGAGAAATAGAAGTCTAGTCAATTTATTGAGAAAAAGTAGGCGGCGGCAGGGCCACATAAGGTAAAGGCATCTTCTCGTTTGGAATCTGATTAGATCCCCTTGTTGAGAGGCACACTAGGTGAGGTACTCACCAAGTGTCATGACCCTACCCATCTTAACTCATACTCTTAACATGTTACCTTGGATTGGATGTGAGACGACATACATACCCAAGACGTAAGTGAAAAGAATTATATCTTTTATTTTCTAATTAGTTACCAGGTCACTAATTATAAAAGAATAAGGCATTGAGAAAATAATATTTTATTCCATTTTAAAACATCAATAGATGTATTTTTATTTTTATTCAAAATATCAGATACAATAGCTAAAAATTCTATCTCATCGATTTATACAGAACATTCTTGGCTGCAAAAATAAACAACACAAAAATATCTATAACTATAACAACTCAGATCAACCTAACTCTATTGAGTCTTGACCCTTAAAAATATGTAAACCATGGAATGAACTAATAACCTAGTTGGTTATCTGAACCTGCAACTGTAATCAATGCACGATAATAGAAATAATATGCATGTGATCATTCATCATATAAATATAAACATATAATAGTAAGAACACGTGATAGTCAATATAAACAGTAAAAATTAATGCATCTGTTACAACTCAATGATAAATGATAAATATCCATATAAAAGATCAGCACATTCTATCATCTCTATGCTCGTATTAGTACAACATAATAGGTGAATTGATGAATTTGGGCATATTTATTAAGAAGTACTATATTTAGCCTCTATACTATATTATCTATGCGGACATGCCTATTATATAATTATAAATATTTCATATATGTCTAAGCATGTTGTACATTATCAATGCATATGTATCATATTCTATATCAAGTATAATATAATATGTAATGTGTATCATATATTAAAAAAAAAAATGTAATGTGTATCATGTGTTCTTGTATTAGTAATATCAGTCTTATCATATGCATGTATCAATTATATCCTATATCATATTTATATCATAACATATGATTTATGCACTAATAATATCATTCTATATCTATTAATATATATACAATTCCATGATGTTTGCATGTCATCTTATAAGTATGGCAAGACATCCGGCTCATGTGGTGTTTTTCCTATATTAAGTCCTGTAGGTCAATCCTGCAGGAATCAATCTCAACCATATTAATGATGTAAATATGAATAATTCATATCTTTCTCAATCACAGTTATATAACTTTCATGTAAGAAGTTATCAATTGAGTCTATCAGCGTATCATATCGTATCAATTAATCTCTTTATGCTCTATTTTCATATTTTTGAGGATCACACCACAATTATTATTTAAAGAAAATTTTGTTGGCTCACTCTCTTGTATAGAGTAGCATGCCTCTAGTCAACTTGAATCAATCAATTATTTTTAATTCACCTTTCTTGCTTTTATACACATGCCAAATTATATTCATCATATAGTAGCAATTATCATGTCATTCAAAACAATTATTTTAATAGGTAAATCAATCTAGTGTACTTATCAAAATGTATGTTGGATCAATAAACAATATTTTAATGCATGTCATATATTTCATACATACCTTTGAATACATTAGCTCATATATAGTTTATGCATACTTTTAATTCATTCATTTCATTGAAAATGACACACACACATATGATAGAATTTCAATATGCTATCGCCAAAATATTCAGGATAATGATATTTTTCACACATCAAAAGTTATAAAGTGGAAATTATCTAGATAAGGAGAAATACATTTTTATCGGGTTTAGGGGGAGAAAAGCCATAAAAATTGAAATTATTTGAAATAGATGATGGATAAAGGTTACCTAGCACGATCAGAACATTTTTCATAATTAGAGCTAAAAAAATACTAGCTTGAACCTCGCTTTCTTTCTCCTCTCTCTTTATCTCTCTCTCTCTCTCATTCTCTCCTCTCTTCTCATTCTCTCCTTTTGGCTAAAGAACAAGAAATTTGGGGGGGGGGATGGCTGCTGATGAGTTCTATTAAAATAGATTAAGATATTTAAAAAATATATTTTGATTGTGCTAACATCACAGCACTGGGGATATTATCAGCAGAATTCAAGTTGGATGGTTGAAGTGGAGGAATGCATCAGACTTATTGTGCGATAGAAAAGTCCCCCTCAAACTTAAGGGAAAATTCTATAAGATGGTGGTGAGACATGCAATGCTTTATGGTGCCGAATGTTGGCCATTAAAAGAGAAGCATAATACTAAGTTAAGTGTTGCAGAGATGAGGATGCTTAGGTGGATGAGTGGCTTGACCCTTAGATATAGGATATGAAATGAGCATATACGTGAAAAGGTTAGAGTAACTCCAGTGGAACATAAGATTAGAGAGAGTCGCCTTAGATGATTTGGTCACATTAAACAGAGGCCTTCTGATGACACTGTTAGGAAAGTTGAGGTATTAGATTCGACTTATGTTAAGAAAGGTAGAGGTAGACCTAAAAAGACTTGGTTATAAAATATTAGAAATGATCTTTCTTTATTAGATTTAAATGAGAATTTGACTTTTAACCGGACACAATGGCGAAAAAGGATTCATGTAGCCGACCCCACGTAGTGGGACAAAGGCTTGATGTTGTTGTTGCTGTTATTGTTGTAGCATCACAGCACTCCAGACATTATTGTTGCAATGATCTATCAAATTGCTATAGAACAGAGAAGATAGCACCACTCCCCACCATTGCTGTGCTCTCACAATTAAAACTCCATATCATATACAGAGAGGCCAGCGCCGCTACGCTTTCAATAGAAATTTCATGCATGTAGGAATTTCATATGGATCGTTAATATTCTATTAACAAGTTTTTAATCACGTGAAAATTAAGACTATTACATCAAGATCCTTCCACGACCGGGGCTATGCTTGAGGTGATGAGCCTTGTTCACAAAGAAGTCAGCTCAACCCCTTTGACTTGTTCTCAAGTGGCATTATCAATCAACCATGAACTTATGTCGGAGGAGGTTTGGTGACATTGAGCTGTTAGTAGAGATAAAAATAATCCCTTTCAAATTTTGAGATGTTTATGTTTGGGGATCGAGTGTTGTCGATCTCGAGTGAAGCTAGGGTTTATTTGATTATAAGTGAGTTTTTAGGTCCTCTGTTCAGTGTGTTCGAGACATTAGCTCTCATGCAGAGCACCTGATTTATATATTAGGACACGAGATCTTCATGTTCAATTACTAGAGGCCCCCTTTAGCTTTTTGGATAAGGAATTATCCACCCTTCACTTCATGCAACAAGGGTGACTCCAGCAGTGCAAGTAGAGGATATTGCTGGTTAGCATATGACAACCTTTCTAGAAGCCCGTCCCATGATTATTTTTGGTGTGCCCTTAAAGATGTGTAGATAGAGAAACTTACAGAGTGGTCACCTGCTTAGGAGCTTCTTGCTACCTCTCTTTTGCTGCGTCTAGTTGTTTGTGAGCATACTTCCTCACATAATCATCAAGAAGTTGGAGCCCCTGTGCCTTTGGCATCTTCATTAAAGGCTTTTTCGGGGCTAGTTTAGGCCTTAGAGGAGGAACTTGTTCACATCCGGATTGAGTTTGAGGAGGAGAGGAGGAGAGGAGAAGAGGAGAAGAGGAGGGTCTATATCACAACCCAATCCGAGAAGATCCACATACGGGATATGTTATATCGTGTTGGCTTGCAACAAGCTAATCCAAGATTTGAGTTTTTGAGCCCAACGATAAAGTCCGCTTTGTGATCGGGATGTCATTTGGGCAGTTTTGTGCGATGCCACATTGAAATTCATGCCAATTTGTCTTTTTTGCATTGTACGATGCTCTGGGAAATGTTACGACATTTTCTATATGATTTTGACGTTCTGGACACAACAACAAAGTCAGTTTTGTGAGTGGACGATATTCAAGCAACATCACATAATATTTCATTTGTAGTCTGTCGATTTTGATCGTCTTTGCTCAATTCAATTGCGAGGAGCCCCCTTAGATTAATGCGAAGCTTTGATCACATCGACGTAGTCTGTTTAACGATCAGAAGCCATTCGAGCAATTTTGTGAAACATTGCACCCTCTAGCTTTCATCGTTGATTTTTGACTAAGTCGCACATGAGTGGCTCTTCTTTGATAAATTCGGTGTCCTGAATGCGCTGATGCGATCCGCTTTATAATTAGATGAAGCTTGATGGTGACCATGGATCGTAATTGGCTTCATTTGCATCAGTAGTGACACTTATATGGAAGTCAACTACGTCTACTTCAAAAGTTTTTCAATAGTTGGCAAAGAATATGTTAGGCGCCTCACTTTTTTTCCACTTCAAAAGAAGAAATGTGCCATCATGCTTCTTCTCTCGGATAAACTGTTGGTTGACCTTCATCAGTGCTGTAGTGTTGCAATGAGTATTAACACTATGGATAAACTTGCTTATGTACTAGCAAACTCTCATAAAACTTTACACATTAATCAAATTTTATGGTTGAGGCTAATTCTTGATTGATTTGATCCTTGATCTATAGACACCAACTTCTAAGCCCAATTAGATTAGATTTTTTCTTCTTGATGTGAGACTTCTTTAGATTGAGTACAAGTTAGTGTTATTTCAGGAGGTCGAACATTTTATACACATCTTCAAGGTGTTTAACCCATGTCTAGATGAGGATAACATTGAGATGGACTATCACAAACTCCTCCAGGAATGTCCTCATGATATCACAAACCCCATGGCTCTATTTATAGATTTGAGCCAAAGTAAATTAGGAAAGAGCTACCTAATCTAATCCTAATCAAATCCCTAATTAATGCAATAATTAGATTCCCTACTTAATGTATCAATCAAATCTCCAATCAAATCCCTAATTAATGAAATAATTAAGTATCCTTATTAATGCATCAATCAAATCAACTTAATTAGGGAAATAATCTATTCCCTAATCAATTACAATAATGAGCCATTAAAAACTTTCCAAATAAAAGCTTATTCAAATTTAGAAATAATTCCAAATCAATAGACCTGTCCACTACAACTCTGACTTTTATTTTCATTTTTGCTTTTTATCGAATCACATAATTCAAGAAATTGAGCAAAATTTTATGATATAGCCATTTTCATGTCTTACATTTGCAACAACTATCTGTTGTGATGACACACAGCTTACCTTGTCCTGTTGGTTGAGAGCTTATGCTTCCAATTAAGAGGTCTTGGGTTCGAGTCTTTGTGTATGCGTTGTGTGTGTGAGTTTGCCTTAAATGGCCTAAATGTCCAAAAAAAAAAGTTGTGATGACTTGCATTAAAAGCCAATCCAAAGTCATTATCTCCGTAAAATATAATGCCTTGCTAACCAGGGACCTTGTTTCAAAAATCTTTGGTTCATCCATGAAAACTAAACATCTAGTGGTCAAATAAAACAATTCTTAAGTGGCCTTTCCCCACTAACTATCAATTAGACCATTATTCTCCTAGATGGTTTATTTATCTACTATATTTTATATGTTTTCCTATATATATTTGTTAATTTATTCTTCAACCATAGGATTTGGTGGAGCTTGAATGCAAGATTTGGGCAAGCAAAGGCATGAATATAACATACGAGGTCAGAGACAACAGAAAAGGATACAAAGCAGGTGCCCTGAAAGAGGGGATGCAGCATAGTTATGTTGAACAGTGTGACTATGTTGTCATTTTCGATGCTGATTTTCAACCAGAATCTGACTTTCTCATGAGGGCCATCCCTTTTCTTGTTCATAATCCGAAGCTGGCTCTTGTTCAAGCACGTTGGGAATTTGGTACGTTTTCTCATTGTTGAAATTATACATATTGCCTGCATCTCATAGAGCGATGCTATCAAATATTAGGGCTTGGTAGACTTGTCATGATGCTGTCAGTTGCACTTGACTCTGGTTTAATGGACATTTTTATTTAGGTAGAATTTTCTTCCTTGGACAATGAAAGCATATATCTGTCTTATTATTTTCTTATGCTTAGTTTGGATACTGGAATTTAGAATGTTAGATTTTATCCAATCAGATTATCAAGAATAGTGGAAATCCAATTTTAAAGAACCATATGAATGATTTGGTCAGGGATCTATTTGCAAGCCACACAGAATTGCTGCACCCTCGTACTGGCCTACTGTGGTCTTGGTTGTAATGCTACTTTTTTTCAATTACACTAAAAATATCCTTCACACTCGTACCATAGAACTCCATACGACCTACACTAACTTATATAGGCAGCTCACTTAACCAAAGCTCTCTTCCCATGTGAGTCCCAGTAGCCATCCAAACCTACATAATACACTTCAATTGACATCTCCATAACGAAATTTATCAAGTTGAAGAAGCTGTCTTAGGGCGCATTTGCTCGACTTGTTTTGAAAAACTGTAATATTAATCTATCATTTGTTTGAATGTGGCTAGAAACTAAACATTGATTTCAAATTCCACAAAAGTCTCTTAGGTGTAACCATTTCATTTTTAAACACAATTAAAGAAAATGAATGCATCATTTTCTATAACATATTTTCTATCTAAAAGCAACAAGGGAGTCCTTTCTCCAATCTAATTTTTTTCAATGCATCAAGAGTGAATGCAAGAATGTGTGCTTTAAGTGTTGATCTAATTCAATGTTCATGAACAACTTTGAGTTCAACTCGCTTATTAACTAATGCGTTGAACTTAAAATCATTTTTTGGGCTTGATTCATTAATGAACAAAACATAAATAAATCTTTGTTCATATATGTTTATTTCAATAAAAAAAGTTTTTTCAAGCTACATATTATAAATTATATGCAAACACACACACAGATATATATATATATATACACACACACACAAATTAATGTCTGAACCATGATGTAAGGGTTAGGGAGTTTAACTATGTTGCCTAGCCCATGTTTGAATCCCCACCCTATCTTATCTTTGGGATTTTATAATAAAGCTAATAATTTTTGCAGTGCTTGTCGTACTCTTTTGCATCATCCTAGAGAGTAGGCCAATAATATTCTTCTGAAAGCACCTTGCTAGATTTTCGAAGAAAATGTGACTGTTGCACTAGTCTTATGAATTTCTTTCAAGACTTTTGATTTTCACATGTTAAGAGACATCATATGCTAATGCCAAACAGCCAAAGTAACACTTTCTAAACAAGTCCTCTTCTAATAGAAAGTAATGGGTTGATTTGTATTTGAGTGATATGGCTTCATTTTTCTCCTTGGTTAGTGACTTAGTGCTCCTTCTGAGAGGTTCTTGATGATGGGTGTGACTTAACAATAATTTTTGATGACGACATGCAACACCTCTTCTTTGGGAGCAAGAAGGGAAGCTTCATGGACAAAGGACATTTGCATAACGATTGTGATCTAAGTGATTTGCTGGCGACGGCTAACTATGCTAGAGTCAAATTGGTCTCAGGTAACAAAATTATTTCCACCTAAAGATATGCCAAGTTAGAAGTTAGGTTAAGGAGATATAGGTTGGGCACCTGGTAGGAAACAACCACAAAAACAGAGAAAAACGTGCTGAATTCCAGAGAAATTCAGCAAAAACCAAGCAGGTTTTACAACATCTGTAGAGAAATTGCAAAGGCAAGCACTTGAAATTCAATAAGAGATGAAAATAAACAATCCAATACAATGAATCTTCAATTCGAGAGGAAGATTCAGCTCTCTAATCTCTAACCGAAGTGTAGAGCCCAAAAACCCACAACAGAGATCTCAAATTTCAGATTAATTCAAGATAGCCCTAACCCTAATAAGAAGGAAATTACTTAAAACAAAACACAAATCATTAATCCCTAAAGAACCCCTAATTTGAATTTTCCCTCATGAACCAAAGTCTCCATTAATGTGTGGACGCAAGCCCTGATTCCGTCCTAGCCAGGCTTCCGCCCCTCTTGTTTGCCCGCCTCCTGTATACGTGAACTGCTCCCTCCTGGACCAATTCGGCCTGCTCTTGCGCCTGTGCCAGTCTAACATTACTTACCTCTCTCCCAAAGACTCACCTTGCCATCAAGGTGAAATGAAGGAAATTGCTGCTTCACCCTCTCATATGGTTCCCACATAGCGTCAAAGTCGGGTAGGCCCCACCATTTAATCAACACTTCTTTGTTCCTTCCTTTTTCTGATCTCACCCCTTTTAGCTCCAATGGTTCCAACGCCACTTCCAACTCCTCCATCAGTGTCACCGGTAACTCTGCACTAATTGCATGTTCCCCCAGAGCTTTCCTCAATTGTGATACATGGAAGACTGGGTGTATTGTTGTGTTAGGGAGTAACTTCAAGCGGTACGCCACTGCTCCAATCTTCTTCAAAATCTCGTAGGGATCGAAGTACCTTGGGGTCAATTTCTCATTCCTCTTGTTGGCCACTGTCCTCTGTCGGTAGGGTCGCAATTTTAAGAACACCATATCCCCCACTTCGAACTGAATGTCTTTCCTATATGCATCTGCTTGCTCTTCTTGATATGTTGTGCCCTCAACAGGTGTCTCTTCAATTCCTCTAACACCTTATCCTGCTCTTCCAAATACTGCTCTACTGAAGATATTGATGTGCTTTTTTTCCCAAAATGTACCAAGTGTGGTGGGTCTCTTGCACACATCACCTTAAAAGGGGTCAATCTGAGCAGTTGAGTGGTGCAAGGTGTTATACCAATATTCAGCTCACTCCAAGCACTTGGCTCACATCCGTGGTGTTTCAGAAGCAAAACTTCTCAAGTCTCCAAGCTTCTGTTGACTACCTCCGTTTGTCTGTCCGTTTGAGGGTGGTTAGTGGTGATTCTCTTAAGAATTGTACACTGCAACCGAGCAGCTCCCTCCAAAACTGATAGAGAAACACCTTATCTCGGATAGAGACTATCGACTCTGGAATCCTGTGCAATCTAACCACTTCTCTGATGAATGCTATAGCTACTGTGATTGGTGTGAGGATGTTGTAAGGGAATAAATGCACATATTTACTCATCCTGTCAACCACCACCATATTCACTTTGAATCCCTCAGATCATGGGAGACCATCAATGAAATCCAAGGGCACTTCTTCCCATACCCTATTTGGAAGTGCTACGGGTTGTAGTAACCCCTTAGAGCCATAGTCATGTACTTATTTCTCTTGCACCCTCACACCTTGCCACCATCTCCTCCACGTCCTTATGCATACCTTTCCAATATAATTCAACAATCAATATTCTGTAAGTCTTCTGTATCTTGGAATGGCCTCGAACTGCTCTCCTGTGGAACTCCTGTAGCAGGTGGGTAATATGACTGGAGGTTTGTGGTATCACAAATCTCCCTTGGCACAATAGTCTCTCTCTTTCGAGGGAGTAGCCTAAGTGGCTGCTCCTATCCTTTAGTAAATCCCTCCAAACTTCCTTAGCTCCTCATCCTGCACACTTTCTTCCTTGATAGCCCCTAAGCTACCATTAGGAGTACAAAAATGGCCATCTCCTAGAGCTCTCCCCCACACCTAAATAAGGTGTAAGCTGCCTTATTCTCCAATCCTAGTCTATATTGGATCTCAAAATCGCATCCCAATAGTTTGGACAACCACCTATAATATTCCTTAGTCACAATTTTCTACTCTAGCAGATATTTCAAGCTCCTCTGATCTTTCCTGACGATGAAATGTCGACCCAACAGATATGGACGTCACTTTTGATGGCTAACATAATGGCCATCAAAACTTGACTGAAGTGGGATATGAGTCTATGATTATGCATAAGCACTGCCCTTAACCCATATCTTGATGCATCTGTCTCCACCACAATGGTCTGGCTGAAATCTGGTAGAGCCAAAATTGGTACTGTGGTCATGACCTTTTCTGTCTCTCAAAAGCCTGGGTAGCCCCCTCTTCCCACAAGAAGCTATCACTTCTTTAATTGCTCTGTCAAAGGCCAGAATATGTTTTTGTAACCCTTCACGAACCTTCGGTAATAACCCGTCAAACCTTGGAAGCCCCTCAACTCTCTCAAATTCCTAGGTAGAGGCCAGTTATGCATTGCTTCAAATTTGGGTTGCTTGACTTCCACCCCCTCCTAAAATATCACGTGCCCCAAGTACTCAACACTAGTATGTGCAAAGCTGCACTTCTTCTGGTTGGCCCTTAGCTGATGCTCTTGTAGAACTCCAAAGACCACCCTCAAATGCTCGAGATGGTCCTCTTTGGTTCCGATGTACACAAGTATGTCATCAAAGAAAATTAGAAAACTAAGACAAACCTTCGAAGTACGGAGGTACAGGCTGAACACCCTGTTCATGAAGGATTGGAAAGTTGCAGGGGTGTTTTTAAGCCCAAATGGCATCACCAAGAACTTGTAGTGACCTTCGCGTGTCCTGAGAATCATCTTCTGAATATCCTTCTCTTTCATTTTGATTTGATAGTAGCCCGACTTCAAGTCCATCTGGGAAAACATCACTGCTCTATATAGCTTGTCCAGTAGCTCATCAATTACCAGAATGTAAAACTTATCCGGCATCATCTCCTTATTCAAAGCCCTATAATTCGCACAAAACCTCCAGCTCCCATCCTTCTTCTTGACCAATAAGGCTGGACTAGAGAAAAGGACTTACAATCGGCCTGATGATCCCCGCCTCTAACATCTCCCGGATCAGCTTCTCAATCTCATCCTTCTGAATTTGGGGGTAGCGGTATGGTCATACACTAATCGGTGACACTCCTTCGTTCAAATTGATTGCATGCTCCTGCTTTCTGGGTGGCGATAAACCTTGAGGTGGATGAAAAACATCACTGGACTGCTTGATGAGTGGTTGCACTAAAAGAGGAATGTCTC